AAATTTATTATTTAGTATAAGTCAGAAAATTACGATTTTGTGTGTTGTTTTCAAATGCTGATGCACGAACTTGATCAGAATATCTGCTTTCAGTTTCAGAGATATGTTGCATAAGTTGGCTTTCATTTTCAGACATATGTAGTATATGTCTGTTTTCAATTTGGGTCATATGTTGCATCACATCAACTCTGAATCGAGGGATCAATGTGAATGAATCTCTTGTACCACAACTTGATTTACTTGAGTAATCAGTATTTACAACTGTTGAATCCTCGTCATATGTGAGATGATACGACGTACGCGGTAGTTAGATTTTATGGGCGTTTTTTAAATTTTTTTCTTCGGCTCCATTTGTGTATTACAATACATTATGATTTAATAAACTATTTTGTAAAATTTATATTTATGTTAGAAAAGATTATGGCATATGAGCTTACATGATTACTATATTAGACAAAATAGTATAAAGAATTTTATCTAATAAATTAAATAAATTAAATGTACATAACATGATAAGTAAATATTTATGAGAAGTTTTTAATCAATGAATAAATATTATAAAATTATTATGATATAAAACAATATAACATATATAAACTGAATATATAATTTCAGAAATAAAAATAATATATGTATAAATATTTTGTAATAATAATATCATAAGTAAAATATGAGAAGAAATTAATAGTTTATAATCATATATAGTATCCTACAATATTATACTATAAAGTAAAAGTAATATATTTTATTATAGATCAAATAAATAAATATATTTAGTATTATCAATAGCAACCGTATCTAATCTCATAAATAAATATTAAAATAATAAAGATATAAAATTTTAATAATACCAGGATTGCTGTGTAAATAGCAAATTTGAGCTAACCAAATCAGACTATATATAGAAATGATGCTTTGCTATGAGATAGAGCAAATAACGATTGATTTTCAACTGTTGCAGTATAATATGGAGATAGGAAATTACCAATCTGCTTGAAAATAACACATTAGGAAAATAATTTATTACCACATAATGGTTATAATATGTTAAAAATAAAATATATAAAAAAAACAAATGTATTTTAGAATTGATCTAATTATACTAATATGCTACATACAGAACAATATATCAGGGAAAAACTAAGAAAAAAGCAACTGAAACATATTTAGGGGGAAAAAAATTAAATAAAATATAAAATAAAAGGATATGAGGTTTCTAGAAAAAAAAATAAAAACAAAATTGTATGATGTTAAATGATATTATTATGTCAAAAACTATTAAATTGTACAAATCCAGTTGTGCTTAGTACAAACAGATTACAAACGAATTTTTTTGTTGTTGTTTCGGGCCCAAATGTTTGGACTGGCATATTTGCATTTTTTTGGTTCCTGTTTTTATTTGTTATTTTGTTTGTTTTAATAGATGATAAACGTTTAAATAAACAAATAAATGTAATATAGTTATAAACAGTAATATACATTATTTTACATGTATTAAAAAGAAGGAAAGCTATTATTGCTTCCTGAAAATAATTATAACAGAATAAGACAAAAAATTTATATACAAATTTATATCTCAATTACATCATAAATTTGGACATGTGAGTTATTTCATGGCCCTGCAAGAAAATTTTTGGATTCCCTCTTGTAATGTTTCCTCAAACAAACTTGTAGTATTTCTCGGTACATGGTAAGAAACAAAGGAAAAAAAAAACAGTGTGAGAATTAAATTTTTTATAAAGAAAGATATTAATTTGAAATAAAGCTTAGAGCATTGTATAAATACAAAGTGTTAGTCAACGGTGAAAAAATAGCAGTAAATGAGCAAAGATGGATTAGAAAGAAAGAATAGTCAAGTACAGGCAATAAATATTAGTGACTGGAATATAAATAGCAGCGAATGATCAAAAGTGAACTGGAAGGGAAAAATTGTCCAGTGCAGGTAAGAAAAACAGGAAAGTACAAAATGAAGTTATATATATGACATCTAGTAATATACACGGCTGCCACCTATGTTATCAAGAAATGTAAGCCATAAGTAAGAAAACTGTATATACAAATGGTTCAGGTTATATTCAAGCGTTGGAAAAAATATATACCATGAGTAATTGAAACAAAATATGGCAATATACATGGCTACCAGCTATATTATCAGGGAATTTATGCCATAAGTACGACAGAATAGTATAGCTTAGATTAGCAATAAGTAATTGAAACAAAATCCATTTGCTGTCAATACTATATACCATAAGTAATTGAAACAAAATCCGACAACATACATGGTTACCAACCACATTATTAAAGAGTTTATGAAAATAAAATATATTGGCATAACTCTGAAATAATAAGGGCAACATGAATGATAGCCACATCTGTAATAACAACTACCCAGCATATGTTAACAACAAATGATATATAACATCATCATAACCGGGAAAAATAAAATGTTTGAATATAAGAAACCAAGTTTTTGATAAATAAAGGCATTCGGTTATAACAAAATTTAGAACACTGTGTAAATATCAAATGTCAGTTAATAAATTAAGAAAAACAGTAAATTATGCAAAATATAATGAAGAAGAAAAAGAGTAAACAACAGAGGAAACAAATGGATATGTACAAAATAGTAACATAGACAAAATCAACTTTTATAAATACAAATATATATAATAAAACTAAAACAAATGGCAAATTAAAATATATTGGCATAAATCCCAAATAATAAGGGCAACATCAATGACATCCATATTTGTAGTAACAATTACCCGGCACATATTAACAACAAATGAAATATAACATCATCATAACCAGGAGAGAATAAAATATTTTAATATTTAAAACCGGATTTTTGATAAAGATAAACGTTATATCTTAATAAGATTTAGAAAAGTTTGTAAACATAAAATATCGGGTAATCAAATTAGAACAGAAATAGGTAACCGAGAGTAGATTAGAGAAGGAAAAAAGTAAAGTGCAGTATAAAACATTTCATATAACGAACAAACATAACATTATAAAATAATATTCTAGAATAAATTAACCAAATTAAATTGAAAAAGTGATTACCTGATTGAGCAGACCACGGGCAAAACGATAGATCAAAGAAATCAACGAAAATTACTGAGCAGCAGGGATAGAACAAAGATATATAAAGGAGGCGATAAGATTAGTAAGAAATAGGTAGTATTATTATGGTGTTTAAAGAGTGAAAAGCGGAGATAATAGAATATGGTAGACAATATAAGATGAAAAACGTAGACAAAGAAATAGTAAAAAAGTAACATACAGTATATATAGTGAAAGTTATCAATGTTTTGCTTAATCTCGGATACAAATCCCTACAAACAGAAACCAATAAAAGTGATGATTAATTAGCAACAGCCGTCACACTGCATGAAGAGCACCGCAAGATATAACCAATAAATAATAAACAGTTATTATTCGGTTAGATATTATACAAAACGAAAAAATTAAAAATACACGTGTCAAAGTAAAAGATTAATATAAATATTATCACATTTAGATCACGACAAATATTAGACATTTGCTCAAAATAATACAAATAAATCAAAATATAGTATATAAAAACAGGGACAAAAAAAAATAACATGATTAAAAAAATATGAAATTACGAAAAAAAAAATTTCTTCACCAATATAATAGTCGAATAACAAATTAAGAAGAAAAAAAAACAGAACAACATAAAAAACGAACACATATCTAAAATAAATAACCCAACATCCTAAAAAAAATTAATAAAAACATAGATCTAAAAAACATGAACGAAACCATGGAATCAAGACAAAAATATTCAACGAAATGAAGTACGAAGCTAACAAATAATGTAATGAAACAAAAAGGTACCATGCATATACAACCAAAGGAAAAAAATAAAGTATAAAACATCGATAAATATATATATACAAAAAAAAAAGATGAAAGACGAATAAATCTGGCGAAGAGCAAAAAAAAAGATCTAGAAGGTTGCAGAAAGAAAAAATATGAGAAACGAAGAAATCTGGCCAAAAACCTAGAAAAATATACAGATCTAAAACATTGTAGAAAAAAAAAGAAATAAAAAAATATAGATCCAGAAACAAAAAAAGATAAACATAAATCTAGAAGATAATAAAAACGAACGAACCAAAAAAAAAGATAATCATGTTCAATCTAGGTACGGGAAAATAAAAACAGATCTAGATCTAGGGAAGAAAAAAAATGTAAAAATTTGCAAAAATAAGAAATATGACAAACAAAGAAATCTGGCCAAATATTTAGAAAAATAGGCAGATCTAAAAGGTTGCAGAAGAAAAAAAATGAAAGAAAAAAAATAGATCAAAAAAAAAACCCCAATCTCAGTAAAAAAAAAAAGGAGTTGAAGATTACAGGAGCAAATCAACGGGAAACATAAATGACAACAGAAAGAAATAATGAAAAAATGACCGAAATCAACAAACGAAGAAGGAAAAAATAAAAACTCAAGCTCAGTCTCAAAGAAGAAAAATCTAGAAAGTTACGGAAGAAAGCAGATGAAGGAGAGAGAGAGACGAACACAGAAAGAAATGAAAGAAAGCGAATAAAAGGAGAATAAACGAAATAAACAAAAGTATCAGTAAATGACCAAAATGGTCACAGCAAATAAATGCACAGAAAACTAAAACGGATGACAATATCGTAATTGTACAAATGGGACATAACGGTAATTAAAATTTCAACAGAATAAAAAAACTGGACTAAAACGGGAAAGACACTGTTCATTACACTGAATCCCCCACCCTCTCTTTTAGTATATGTATAATTTGAAAATATTTTATACATTTAAAGGACAATTTACATTTTTAAAGTTTAGGAAATATATCGATACATTTGGCTTAATTAATTGGAAATTGATAATGTTTATTTTTATAAAGGGTAGTAAAAAAGTGGTAAGGAGCCTATTTTTCTCAAAACAGGTCCTAAACGACGACCATAACCAACCATAAGTTGGATCCTCCACTCGTTGGTCGTTATCCAATTTCTGTGGACCGTGACAATGTTCACTCTCTCACTTCTTTCTCCTCCACACTCTCTCTCTCTCTCCTCCCCTCCCAGCCAGCATTCCATTCCCAACGGCCATGGCCACCACATTCTCCAACCCCGCCTCGCCGTTCGCCCCCGCATTGCCCCGAAATTACCTTCCTTTCCCCGTCCGCTCCTCCTCGTTCCGACGGAATCCGCCGGAGCTCATCTCCTCCTCTCCGCCGACCCTGAAATTACTCGCCTCTTCGAGAAATCGCCGTTCGAATACCGCGTGCAAGGCGACGGAGGTGTCGGTGGCGGAGGGGTCGCCGGCGTCGGAGGGCGGGGAAAACTGGGTGCCGGTGGTGCCGCTGTCGGCGCTGCCGAAGGGAGAGAGAAGGGTGATAATACAGGACGGAGAGACGATACTGTTGCTTTGGTATAAGGACCAGGTTTTCGCTATCGAGAACAAATCTCCTGCTGAGGGTGCTTATACTGAAGGCTTGCTCAATGCCAAGCTCACTCAGGTAATGTTTCTTTTTTTTTTTCTTTTTTTTTTCCTTCGTCAAATTGGTAAAGTTTTCGACTTTGATTGTAGATGCAGACATTCTTTGCTTTTTCAATTTAATTTGATGCCCAGGATAGCACAGGCTGAAATTTACGTTGTTCAACTCAGCCTAGGAAGTACAATTTAAGGAAATTGCTTCTGAAATACTTTCAAAGAAACTAAAAGCAGTTCAAACTGTTCTACTTCTATCTGAGTTTTGAGCCTAATACAATCTTGCACAATAAGTTGTGGAGTCTAATTCGTGTCTTCACATAGAGACAACACATGGATAAACCTCACTGCCGGGAAGCCATTTTTCGGTTGTGAATTCCGACATTTTGGTGGTTTATACTTGTACATTCGGTTGCCCTAGTTTTTCTTTATATAAAGGGAGCGTTGGTTTTAGTGTTTAAGAGGAAGTGAAAGATTAGGGAAAATTGAGTGAGTCCAAGAGATATGCTATTTCTCTTGTAGTCTTATTCATTATAGTGACTTTCTGATCTGTAGTAGCTGAAAGTCAACATAGCTCTCGCATTAATAGTATTACTACTATAAATCATGCATGTTCTTGCTCATTTATTTTCATTTTCGATTATGTTGCCCTCGGTTGTATAGACTATAGAATTTGAGCTTCTAATTCTTAACATTTTTGCTTCTCTAATGCGTGGCTAATTAATGGATATTGTTGTGTGGGAAAATGTACAATTACGCGTCAGACGACAACCGTACTTTACGTGACCCTGTACTTGCCACGTCAGGTAATTATCGACGCTTGGAATTCGTTTCCCCTTCATATGGTGAAAGGGTCGATCGTATGAGGGGATTCATAAGACCGTCGACCCTACATGCAGCCAAGGCCTACATGATCTGCGGATCAAAGGTACCACGATAGGGTCGGCCGCGTGAAGGAGGCAACGCCTTGTTTAGTATAGGCGCAGAGGGCAGAACACGGGCAACTGGGTCCATACCCCAAGAAAGATCTCTGACATAACAAGTTGGAAATCTCTAGGTTGTGTTTGGGTTTGGAGAAGGTCTGCTGCACAGGGAGTGATTACAAGCCCATAAACCGCCTGTAATGGACCAATGAAAAACCGCAAAGGATCCACAGAGCCGCAATAGTCGACGAAGTGAGTGACCAGCCCAAAAGGCGTTGACAGGCTACAGTCAAGTGGGATGATAGGCCACTTGAAAAAAGTCATCATTACAAACCCATGTGACAGTTCGTCTATAAGAAGCCCATATGAAGTCCGTGGCCTATAAAAGGGGCAAAGCCCCAGAGAGGAAAGGAGATTGGATTTTATATAATCTGAGAAGAGAAAAAGAGAAATATAATATACAGTGAATGTAACTCTATTTTACAGAGTGAACCAGTATAAAATTTGTGTCTTTTTACTTCCATTCAAGCACTGTCTTTACACTTCGCACCATACTCATTCTAAATACAACATTTTACAACAATAATCCGAATATATACCAAATTTGTGCCGGTAACCCGACGGAACACCTAGAGGTAACCCGGCATAATCTTCTTGACGAAATTCCACCGTCAACAATTAGCGACTCCACTGGGGAGCGAACCCAGAATCTCGACGATAATGCCTCAAGAACAAGAAATGGCACTACAAATCAAGGCAGGCAGACGGAGAAAAACACCACGCATCCAACCAACAGTGGGAGTGGAGGAGATCAGCCCGGCCAGGGGGATCAACCCCCAGTAAAGAACGAAGCTCGACCCCCGGGTGTGCCACAGCTTGACCTGATACAGATGCAGGTTCAGCTGAATGCTCTAACCGACCTGGTTCGAGGATTGATGACTGCTGCCGAGCGGTTGGACGGGAGAAACTCCATGCCTCCTCTGGAAGACGCCCCGAGACCACCGGGAGCCGCCGTGCCTGGGAACCAGAATACTGGTGACTGACAAGGTGCCCCGGAAGGGATTGGGGACAGTGAAAATGCCAGAAGAAATAACCCGAGGCCTCAACTATCCCAATCCCTCGACAGCCGACAAAAGGCCGCCAGACGACAAGCCAGGGAGAACAGAGCAGTCAGAGGTCAGGAGAACCCTGAAGGGCCACCTCGAAACTCGGGTAAAAATATCCCGGGAGATTCGGGATCGGTGCAAGAGGGCGAAGACCCATGGAATAAGCCAGATGCCAAGAAAGCATAAGCCTCGAAAGGGGTCAGCTCTGCAATCTCAACGGAAGAAGCAAGAGTCATCATGGAACGCGTGACAAGTTTGGAAGTAAAGTTCACAGGTGATTTCGCCAGTTTAAAGAAGGATATCAAAAGCCAGGTGAATCACCTATAAAAGAACCTTGGACAGGTGGCAGAGGTGGTTAACGTCGACATCACTCCCAGTCGAACTCACGACCACCCTTTTACCGTAGAGGTCATGGCGCCGCCTCTCCCAGAGAAGTACAAATCCCCGTCGATCCCACCATATAACAGTAGAGGGGATCCCGACGACCACCTGAAGATGTATATGAGTTATATGCTTCTGCACGGATATGCAGAGGAAATAATGTGTCGAGCGTTCCGGAACCACTTAACAAATTTGGCCCGAAGATGATTCCGGACACTCAAGCCAGATTCCATCTCCAGCTAGGAGGAATTGAAGGAAGCTTTCTCCCTCCAGTTCATCGGGGTAAAAAAGTATATCCCGCCGAAGCAAAATCTGACAACGGTATACCAAAAATTGAACGAGTCATTAAAAGAGTGGCTGGGGAGGGACGGAGA